CTCTTCAATCCAAAGCTTTAAAACTCCAAAGCATGCTCTCCTAGGGTTTCCTCCAACTCTAAGGGTCTAAAGGTGTCTTTTTTAGCTGAGGAAATCAGGTCATGCAAGGTTTTTTTACAAAAAAAAGTGAAACTATTCTTTTTCAAATTTTTGACATGTACCATGGCACTCTTGCTGAGGTGCCATAGCCCCAGAGAGGTATCCATTGTAATTTCATCAGTGCCATGGCATCAGAAACATAACATTTCTAACTTTATTCTTTCAACATTAATGCTTAATTTGGCACCTAAACTCTTGTGCTAAGGCTTCGATGAGTTTTCTTATCCTTGATCTCTTTCTCTATGATTTCTCCTCTTTCTTGCTTAAGCTTTTGATATTCACCTATTAAAATCAATTTTTATTGGTGAATCACTTGTTTGCTTAAAATCAACCAACTTAAATCATTTTCTTAAAAAATTACAATCAACCTATGTGATAAACATAGTTAACATCTCTTTAATTAACTATGAAAATATTTCTCTTTTTTATTGATGACTTCCCAAAATGAAACCAAAAACACCACAATTATAAGTAAAAATAGGGAGTTATCACTTTGACACTTGATAATAGAATTTGTCTTGAAAACTCTCAAGGTAGAGTTTAAATATGATATATTAATGTCTTGAGAGCATTGTAGATCCACCAAGAGATGATCTTAAGCAAAGGAGGTAAAAATGCTTAGTGTCTTAAGAGAGCATTTGAATAGCATAACCATATAGGTCATGTGAGTTCCATTGTATAATATGTATGTATGTATGTATGTATGTATGTATATATGTATAGCATTAAATATGCTGCCTTATTTTAACCTTTTTCATCCAAAAGGTTAACTAAGTCAAAGGAGCAATTATAGATGCAAAGGGAGGGGCAGCTATAAGTCATAAAATTATAGTACAATGGGGTTTCATCTTAGCAACATACATGGTCAAGCATGAAGCATTGATTCTTGAAGGATCTTATCAAATTCATTGGATTAGGAGACCTGCCTTGATGTATCAATTGATTTCTAGAGTACCAACTCATATTCAACAAAATGATTATATATCTAATCTAATTAACCCTATCATCTTTATGAATATGCTTAAAAGTGTTCAAGATCTAATTAATGAGTCTAGAATAAGAAAAAGAAGAAATTCTGATAGATAGACATACAAACCAAAGAGACTTGTATGGCTAAGCAACAGTTGGCAAACAAATGGTCCCACATTTCCTCATTCGAACACCTAAAAGTAATGTTTTCAGAACTGGACTAGACATTAAACTGAAAAAGTTAGCGGTTCACGATTTGCATGGTTAAACCAGGTTAGACTAATGGTTAAACCGGTAACGTAATAATTAAATAAAAATAATATTAAATGTATACATAAAATAAATATAAGAAAAAATCTATAATATGTTAATAAAATGATATAACATGATTGTAAATTAATAATATTATAAATTATAATTTTATAACTTGTCAAATATAGGTAAATCTTGGTTAAATTAGACATGAGCAGACTCAAAAGTATCTGTATTTGCATATATAATTATCAACATCTTTATAAGAAATAGTCTTAAATTATATTTTATATATGTGAATTATTTAAAAATAAAGTTTTCTTTTTGTATGATCTAATTTTTGCATGTTTCTAATTTTTAAAAATTTTTAAGATGTTTTTTAATATAATGTTTAAAACCGTTCAGTTTTCTAAAAACTGCTTCAGTTCCTAATTCAACTTTGGTTTCTGACTCAATAATAGCTCAACCCTGATCCAATCCAACTCAATCATGAAAATGATTTTTTAGTCTAAACTGAGCCACTAATGTCTTCAATCAATGGTTTGACTATCCAGTTCGGTCTTGTTTTTAAATTATTGCCCAAAAGGACATTGAGAGTTATTTGAAAGGTGATGCTCATTCAAAATGTCTTTGATCCAACTAGATGGTATGGATTAATTAACTAGCTTCTAAGTGAATAAAATGAATTTCAATGGTAACCTTAGGTTCTAAAGAAAACTTTATAAGGAATGATGTGACAAAGGTAGGTGGGTACTATATATGCTATGAATATATAACAATTCACAGCCCTTTTTGGTAGTATATTCCCCATAGCATGATCCATTATCCCATATGATTTTACCTCTTGTGAGGTTAGGGGAAGAGGGGTTCAATAATATATATATATATATATATATAATGTTGGAAACATGGTCATTGTAGAGTGAATGAACTAAGTGACTATTCTATTGCATAATAGACAAACCTGAAGAATGTAGTTGGAGGAGATCATCTAAACAAAGAGAACTAATGTCAATTGATTAGGAAATTGGTTTGTTAGAAACCAAACTAGATGACAAAGGGGAATATTAATTAGCTTCATTTCTAACTCTCCATTTTATCTTTAAAACAATAAAAATCTACAGAGAAATAAATCCCTTTCCAAAACCAAGAAGAGTTATATGGTTCCTTATAAGTAATGGAGGGAAGTTCACGTTAATGTACTTGACTTTTAAAATGCTAGCCAACAAAGAATGTGGTCCAACATCAATAATTCTCCAGAGTTGTTTGGCAATAAGTGATTTATTATTTAGGGAACAGGTTTTAATCCTAAGACCTCCCTGACTAGTAAGGGAGAAAAGATATTTTTTTTATTTTTGATATGTGATCTCATTTTATCCTCAATGTCTCCCCAAAAAAATTTGCACAAGCAGAATCAATTTTATTAAGTTTTGATGACGGGTAGTTGTATTAGGTGATTTCTCTCTCGTCTTACATGGCTCTCGTGCTCTTTGCATCTAAGTTGTCCACTTCATCTAACTAACCTCCGTCTCCTGAGGGAGATGATCAACTTAGAAGAAATGTGAAAAAAAAAAAATCAAAGGAGTGAACTTAGTGACAGATCTAGAAAAATTAATCAATTGGGGCATAAGTTGTACTTAAAATAAATATTAATATTTTTATAAAATAAATAATTTTAAATATCTATTAAATTTTATTAATGGTATAAGTTAACTATTAAAAATGCATAAAACACAACATTATAATAACATAAAATACTCTTTTTATATAAATATTTTTTTATATCTATTAGAATCATGATTTTAGTTTTCATTATATAAAACTGATATACCTCTTTTACATGGTAGAGAATTTTCTTTTTTGATAAACTTTTTCATGAGAAACTTTTTTTTAAATTTTTGCTTTTCCATTTTAAAAATATTTCTATTTAAGGTTATAAAACACACACATATATAATTTTAGATAATGGAATAAGTAAACTTTTATAAGGGCATGAATGAATTTTTTTGAAGTAAGGAGGGTGATTGAAATATTTTAAGGGAGGCAACTAAAATTATTTTGGGTTATTTTAATTAATATCTTCTTAGGCTAGTGGGGGCAATTGCCCCCATTATGGTAAACATAAATATGTCCCTGAGTGAACTCTATGGTGAATTATCTAAGTGAGATAGATAAATAATCCTGAAAGCTGGCCTCCCCTGGGTCCTCAAGCAAAAGAGAAACTAAAGAAGAAAGATTTGTTTGTTGAAAAACTCAAGGGTATAATTTCAGATAATGAAGGGGGAAAACCACAAGAAGAAGATGATGACTCATCGGATTTTGAAGGTGAAAAGACTCAAGAAATTAAAGTGAGAAGTTGGGGGAAGTTGAGAAGGACTTTAAGGTTTTCGAGAATTTTTCTCCAAGGAAAATGGGCGTTCTATAGAGCATGGAAAAGATCTGTCATTGTTAAGCAAAGATATCTAGAGCAGTGGATGCAAAATGCCATGAAGAAACAAAAAGGAGAGAGGAAAAGTAGTACAAGTAAAGGAAAGGATAATGCTTTAAAGGGAAAGGAAGTGATGATTGCATTAGGATCATAAAAGGAGGGCATGCAAAAGGAGGCATGTTGGGGAATGATGTATTGGCTCTAGTAGTTTCATCCAGCAAGATTAGTGTTGGACCTTTGAGTTCTAATGAAACCACATAAATTATCAATTCCATTTTTGACTCTCTAAACATGAATGACATTCCAATTGATGAATTGGACTCGGGAGACGGGCAAATAGGGGTATTAGAAATAACCCCTTGTTAGACCAAATGAGACTGATTTGACTTTTTTTTTCTTTTAGAATCCCATTGTAAAGACTTTAAATGTTTTGATAAGCCTATGGAGTTTGGGCTTCACTAAAGTGGTGGTCACTATTAAACTTTATAATTGAGAGGAATGAAAAGGAAGAGGATTTTAGTAATTTTCATTTGAAAATATAGACAAATAAGGTTGAAAATTTTTAATTAAATTTTCTTTCTCTTTCTTTCTTTATCTTTCTTTATTAAAGTTTTATAACCTATATTTTTATCAAATCAAACAAGAGATTAATATCCCAAACATTGCATGGATATAAAATCTAGTTAATTTGTAAAACTCTTGCCACCATAATTTGATGTTGGATCCATTCTTGTTGCTATAATTTAAAGTTTTTGTATTTAAATTCTTAAATTTTAAGCCCTATGTTTTCATGTCTTTAACGGATACTCCTCTAATACATCAATTTAAAACAAAAAAGAAAATAAAACAAACGTTAGGAAAAATTAAACTTTATTATAGCAAATCATGCAAACTAGAGATTTAGAAGTAACACAATTTTGTTGTAACAAATGTGAGGTTTAGAATATGGTGATTAATATAATATAGCCTTTTCTATCTATATATATATATATATATATAAATTACAGACCATGGTGCACATATGTCAACAAAATGTATTCATGTCTAATAAGCTCCTAAAAATCATGTCTAAAATTAGTTAGTTTAGAGCCACAAATTGGTGGCTAGCAAAATATTGTTTCAAACAGCTTACTTAGTTTAGCAATAAACCTATATATAGTATTAAGCAAATATACTAAAAGGTTTCTTGCTCACAGAAAACCCTATATATATGCTAGGCCTTTACGAATTGAAAAATTAAGGATGAGCTTTCTTCCACTTGATGAAAAAAGTGGGAGAAAGTAAATCATCAATAAGTAAATAAATAAATAATCAAAAGGGTTGATAACATTATTATTAGGAGCTGTTCGCAAAACAGGAGGATGGGCCGAGGAAAGATGTTCATGTTTCTGACATATCTTCTGGTGGTGACAATATCAATGGTACAAGGTGAAGACCCTTACATATTCTACACGTGGAATGTAACATATGGGACATTATCTCCTCTTGGAGTTCCACAACAAGTGATTCTCATCAATGGACAATTTCCTGGACCTCAAATTAACTGCTCATCCAACAATAACATTGTTGTGAATGTGTTCAACAAACTTGATGAGCCTGTGCTTTTCACATGGAGTGGTATCCAACACAGGAAGAATTCATGGATGGATGGTACATTGGGAGCCCAATGTCCAATCCTACCTGGCACCAACTTCACCTATCATTTCCAAATTAAAGATCAAATCGGAACCTTCCTCTATTATCCGACCACATCCATGCATAGAGCTGTTGGAGGTTACGGTATGATTCGTGTGTTTAGTCGTTTGTTGATCCCAGTTCCATACCCGAATCCTGAGGATGAGTTCAATGTTATCATTGGAGATTGGTATACTAAGAAGCACGCGACGCTTCTCAAACTCTTGGACAGTGGACGATCTATTGGCAGGCCAGCTGGTGTGATCATTAACGGCAAAACCGCGAAAGGCGATGGAAGTGATGAGCCACTCTTCACCATGAAGCCTGGCAAGACATACAAGTATAGGATTTGCAATGCTGGGAGTAAGAACTCTCTCAACTTCAGGTTCCAAGGCCATGTCATGAAGCTGGTTGAGACAGAGGGATCTCATGTGGTTCAAAACACTTATAACTCTCTCGACGTCCATGTTAGCCAATGCTTTACTGTTCTCATGACTGCTGATCAAGAGCCTAAGGATTACTACCTTGTTGCTTCTACTCGCTTTACTAAGGTCATGATAATTCACATATTTAACACATTTTTACCATTGATCATATCTTTTTTTTTAGCATTTGCTTTTATATAACTAGATTTTATTGAATATTATTTTTAATTGCTAAAATATAATTTCTATTGATTTTAGGTCGTTCTCACAGGTAAAGGCATCGTTCGCTATGAAAATAGCAAAGGACTTGCCTCAGTACAGATCCCTAAGGCACCTGTTGGCATCGCTTGGTCTATTAACCAATTTCGATCTTTTCGGTGGAACCTCACAGCCAGTGCTGCTAGGCCTAATCCTCAAGGTTCATATAAATATGGTCAAATTAACATCACTCGAACCATCAAATTGATAGGATCAAATAATAAGGTACAAGGGAAAGATCGATATGCGCTTAATGGGGTCTCACATGTAGATCCTCAGACCCCTTTGAAGTTGGCTGAATACTTCGGAGTTGCTGACAAAGTATTCAAGTATAACACCATCTCTGACGAACCCTCAGCCGATCTAGAGAGCCTCACTATTGAACCAAATGTCATAAATATAACCTACCGCACCTTCGTCGAGATCATCATTGAAAACCACAAGAAAAGCATGCAATCATATAACTTGGATGGATATTCCTTCTTCGCTGTTGCGTTAGTAGATATTCTTTTATTTCCCTTCGCATAAATTCATACATCCATATATGTGTGTATATATATATATATATATATTTACATATACACATATACACTAATTTGTTTGTGTGTTGATGTAGAAATGAGCCAGGAAGATGGGCCCCAGAGAAAAGGAAGAACTATAACCTTCTAGATGCTGTGAGTAGGCACACCGTCCAAGTGTTCCCAAATTCTTGGGCAGCCATAATGCTGACATTCGATAATTGTGGAATGTGGAACTTGAGGTCGGAGTTAGCTGAGAATCGCTACTTGGGCCAACAATTGTACGTTAGCGTTTTATCCCCAGAACGATCTCTCAGAGATGAATACAACCTTCAAAACACAACTTTACTTTGTGGCATTGTTAAGGATTTGCCCTTGCCTCCACCATATTCCTCCTAATTACAATGTTCCTTAATCCTCATTATTGGTTACCTTATGCCATCTGATTGACTTTTGAGAATGAAATGAAAGCAAGGGGAATGTTGTAATATTTTAATAACTGAGGTTGAAATATTATACACTTAGTTATTAATTAATAAAATCAACCCTTTTGGAAATGATGTGTTGTTATGTCTTCATCAATTTATATCATTCTCTTATCTATTAAACTTATAACCTAGTGACAAATAGATAGGTAGCAAAAATGAAACTTAATTGATGGAAGAGAATTAAAATAAAGTAGCATGCATGCATGTATTGTTTGGATTTATGAATAGGACAATTAATTTTCAATTTATAATAAAGAAAATTAATCTCTTTAATTTTTTGGTAGAAAATAGGGCTAAGTCCAAACAATATTGTTCACTATTACATAAGATAAGGAACAGAATCCCCCATAAAATCTCAATAAAATAGAAAAACAATCTCATTAAGAGGCATCTCTATAATAATACAATTAATAACTTATTAGTTCACACTCTTCTTAACAAGCCAATCAATAGAAACATTGCCTTTTTTAAACACGTGCTCAACTACAACATCAATATCACCATCACTATCTAGAAACTTAACACCATGCTTGAGATGCTAAAAATCATATTTGCTCGAGTCAAGGGAGGACAGTAAATGTTGACAAATGGTGGTTGTGTCACTCTCCACAATCAGTATTTTAAAATTTAGATCTTTCTCAATCCTAAGACCATGATAAACACCCCACAATTTAGCCTCTAAGGTGCCTTAAGTCATAGATAAAGCCAACAATCCACATCCTTTCCTCATTTCAAAAGAGCCCTTACATCTTGCACTACCAAGTTGACCTTGCATGAAGCCATCCACATTTAGGTTCAACTATCTATGAGGTGGATGTTCCTACCTTGCTTCTACTTGAGTCTCCAATAAACCAGAAGAGTCACTCAATGTGAAATTTTTATGTACTAAACTTGCATGGCTAATGATCTGCTTGACCATATTGAGTGGGTTGGAAACAACATTGTTGAATATACAATCATTATGATGTTTTCACAATGTCCAAACTTTAATATTGCAAACACAAAGTTCTAAGAAGAAAAGCCATGATAGAACTCTTACATTTGAGGTTCCAACATGTTGGTTTTATTCACCCTTAATGGATCAAACCTAAATATAAGCCTAATTAAGGAACGGGATGATGTTGTCAGAATTATGAGAAATGTTAGGTCTTAATGTGTGATTCTCTCAATTCCTCAAGTGTAGTTTCCTCCTTTTTAATTTTGAATTAGGGAGGGAATGGTTAGATAACACATCTCACACATTTCCCATCATATGCATTATGCATACTACTTATTAGGAGGCAGGCTTCTCATTTTGGACCTGAAGGTAAGTTTTGCAATCACCCTTTCTACTTCCTCTATTCTCTTTCTCCCTATGCGAGTGTATTTACTATGAGAACTAACAAATGAGTTCGGCCGTATAACTCTATTTTCACATACATCATTTCATCTGAAACATCATCTCGGTAAGTTTCCTCCTCCATAATCTATTATAACAGAACCAATCACTTTTATGTAATTGCTAGAATTGGAACCCATGTATCTTCAGCAAGCCCACGTGTGTAGTTTATAAAAAGTTTTGAATTAGTCATCGTTCTTTAAATTTTTGTAGTCTCTCCATGTAAAATTTATCTAATTGATTAAATCCTTGTTCTTTCAAATTAATATTTCACACAAGCAAATAGTGTTGGAGGAAGTAGTACTACACCAAAACAACCAATTTTTCAAGAACAATTTAGTGAGGCTAAAAACGAAGAAAATATCAATGAGTGGCTTTTTCTTATATATATATATATATATATATATGGGATTTCTTGGCCACATTTTTTTCCCTAAGTTATGCCCCAAGAATTTTTATCATGGGCTTACCTCCAGTCACATGACAATTAATTAATTATTATTAGTGATAAGGAAAGGAAAAACAATAAAGGTAAATTAAATATATAATGTTAAAGATGAGAAAATGAATAAAAAATTAATTGTCTAAAATGAATAATCATTAAACTTGTTATGAAATACATAACATGAGTTATATTATAGTAAATTCAGAATTTACTAATCCAATGATCCATTCTTCACTCAATTTAGATGCAATAAATCTCGTATAAGTTGTAGCTTGTGCTGTTGTGTTCACCTTATTTGTGTAATGTTTTTTCAATGTTATTAAAAAAAGTTAATGGAAGTTAATGGGGGAGAGAAAATCATGCTTTGTTTCCCTGTATGTATGTATTTATGTATTTGCGTTATACTTGACCGACTATTACATTTAAGAGTATAGGAGGAAGAATGGCCTCAATTCTGACTTTGAGACTGAGAAGGAATTAAGATTAGCATGACTATATCAATGAAAAATGGTGCTTATTTTCTAAGTATATATAAATAGCATGTATGTAATCACTTAACATCCCAACTTGGCAAATTTTCACTTAGATGTGATATTTAATTTCATTTTTTTCTCTTGAAGCACAAGTGGGAACTAGTCAAAATTTTATGCCTTTGAGTACTAAAACTAATTCTTAGATCCTTTAACCTATCGGAATGCTTAATAGGAAGCACTCTGGAAGGCTTAGATTTTTTTTTTTTTTAAATTTATAAGAGCACTCATTTGGCACACACTTTTGTAAACAGTTTCATTTTGTTTTTATTTCTGTTAAAAATACCTACGAGAAAGCACTCCCATAAGTATATATTTTCAAAGCATCTCCTATAATAAACATTCCAAAAACACTTTTGCCTATATTTATCATAGCACTTTCATCAGCATAAGCGCTGTGATATGGAACACACTCATATGCATATTTTATAGTAATGTAATGACCTTTGTTATTATTGTCAAATTTTTGAGTTGATTTTATAATTTTATTATTTTTACATTTTTAATTTATAAACTCGTGTTAATTCACTTATAAATTTAGATTAAATAAAATTTGATTAAATTCACGAGTTGACACTCTTAGTTTATTGTTCATATATTTTTAACTTATAAAATCATGTCAATCCGTTTACAAACTTATTGAGTAAGATAGATATATACTATATAGAATTTAATTTATAAAAGTGGTGGGATTTGATTCAATCAAAAATAAAACTAAAAAAACCAAAACTTGATATTAATAACAAAATAAAAAATATATCAAAAATAAGTTGTCATATTTTAAAATTTTAACATTGAACATAATAATCTATAAATATAGATAGATTTAATTTCATTGATTTATACTTAAAATATATGATCATATTTTATATTATAATTTTTTAATCATATATTTTTAAAGAATATTTATTAATAAAGATAAAATTTTATAAATTTACGATTTCAATTTATGTTTTAAGTTTATATTTCTATCACAAATTTATTTAAATTCACAATTTTAATGACTTTAACCTTCGTTGACATTCAACTTTCAATTGATTTATTCATTGCTTGAAATCTAACACAATTTTGTACTTGTCTTCCTTGAAATGTTAATTTGATATTTTCGCAATATAATTTACATGATTTTATTATGATTAAAGTTCTTCCTGCCACTTGATAACTTCAAGTGTCATTTGGTTAAAATTCAGAAGTTTTACAATTTCTTTTTTTTTTTTTCATTTGCCGACCAATAGTTTTACAATTTCATCCCTGCCTAGCTCATTTGACTTTCTCTTTCCTTAATTTCCTTTGAAGTTTTAGGCATATCTATACTTTACTAGATTATTTTCTATGTTCTCGCTTACAACTACCCAATAAATTATATATAATAACTAGATATATTGGTAAATTTTTTATAAATTCCTTAATTATTAGAATTTCTCTCTTTTTCCTTCACTTACCTTGAATTCCTTTTAGAGCATTAATTTTTTTTTTTGGGTCATGATTCGGAAGCATTCTTCTAAATCCTAGCCAATTAGGCAAAATGACAAATTACACAATTCATACCCGTTAAGCTCTAACTACCTTTTTAAAGGCAATGGTCCAATGATCAACTAGCAATCGTTCAATAATAGTATAAAAAAGTTCAAGTTGATATAGTTAACAAGGTTAAACAACATTTAAGTAATTTTAAAAAAATTTTAAATTATTTTTATGCTTTTTTTGGACCTATTAGTAATTAGTAATAATTCAATTTTAAAAATCCTATTAATAATTAGTAATTCATTTAGTTAGATAGGACTTTCATGTGTTTTTTTTTTCATTTACTTTTCACTAAGGAAACCTCTCAGAGTCATAGTTCATCATTATGATTGTGAAGAAGAGCTCATGGTTTCCATGAGAAGAGTTAATCAACAGAGGGGTCAAATTGGTAATTCAATCACAAGATACGCGCCACGTTGCAGAACGAGACATCCATGCTGGAGGGTGCAGTACCGCAATATCCGCTCCCAATATTTTTCAAAATTCCCTTTTTGCTCCTCCCACTTTTTCTCCAAGCTCTTTCAGTAACCCTCAGTCCCTCGCTCGATTAGCCTCTTCAGCGTCTTCAGCCCTTCCATTCACTGCAAATTTTTTCTGCGATTCATGGCCATTACCGCTCCTTCGTGAAGGTTTTCAATGCGCATTAAAGATAAGCTTCAATCTTCGTTATATTTTGAACTCTTGGTTCAAAAATAGTGGTTTCATGTTTCATTTATCATGTTGGTTGTCTCTATCATTGATGGATGCCTCATTCCCTGCGTCGTAGATTTCTGTTTCGTTTAATAAAATGAATGTTACGCCGTTTCTGGTCGCGTAGTAGGACAAATTCCTTATCTTCAGGTTTTCCCTCGTTTGGAGCCGTGTTGTATTTAGTTCATTGTTTGACTTGAGTTTCGGCTTTTGGATCCTATTCTCTTTCTTGACGATTTAGGGCTTCATTCTCCATCTTTGGTGGCTGTACTCTCTTCTGATTCTTTGAGGGTCTCTGAATTCTGTTTTTCATGTAGTTCACTCTCATCTTCCTTGCGTTGAGTTTAAGAGAATGTAGCTATATCTTTAATGTTTTATTGGTCTGCTAACCAATTGGGTCACTGAGAAGCAACCGATCATCCCCTAAATTGGGGTGTTTTTCTTTGGATGTGATAAAGATAAAAGGGGTCTCTGCTCAGAATGACCATGGGTAATCCTGTTTTTGTGGAGTGGGAAGAACAAATTATATGCCAGGAGCGTGGGAATCGTGTAACTCACTTCTACTTAAGGGATGCATCAGGGAATTCAGTGCTTGCTGTAGTGGGCACCGAGAGGAGTATAAGGCATATGATGTATGTTGTGTCAGACGAATTTTTGCAGGCTTATGGATCCAGAGATATCATTTCTGGGTGTAAATGGCGGGCTAGAAGAGAGGTGGTAGACTGGCTGACATGTTTGGTATCGAGGAATAGACATCAACATATGGATGATTTGGGTATGCATTCTGATATATTTCAAGTTTTTATTGTTTTATTACAAAATCTGAATGACGAATGCATAATTTGTAGTTATGTCTCCTGGAATTCTATGCATAATTGGAATAGTTTGTGAAGGCATTCCAGAATTGTTTCAGCAGATTGACCCATGATTTAGGTATCATGGTCTTAGTTCTTTCAATGACGTAGCAATTCAATCTTTGCATTATCTAATCAGCTTGATAGGAGCTGCCTTTAAGAAACTAGGTCAAATCTACCTGCTTTGATAATTGATTTATGACCTTTTTTTTTTTTTTTTGCTTATAGAATATTTTTTTTCAATGTCATTTCATGATTTACATAGCTCAAAGTTGCACAGTATCCACCAGATATTTGAGATACGGGGTTCCTTTAAGAAACTTGGTCAAATCTGCCTGCTTTTAGTTCGTTTGGCCTTTGAATTATTGATTGATCTGAATGACAGAATAAAATCTACAGAACTTTGTGATGGTTTCCTTTGACTGAATTGGTTAACTTCAAAATGTTGATAATAATAATGTTTTATTATTTTTTAAGGGTAGTGACATAACTAATACTTTATTTATGAATTTAGAGTGTTGCGGTCAGTGGAATGGCCATTTAATTGAATATCAAATTTATATGATTATGTTTGAATAACGTATCTTAATCACCCTATGAGCAATTTTTAGCTGCTAAATTCTTTACAGATGACTGAATATGAGTATAATCATCAATTGTTGCCTTGGACTCTTGGTTGCTGCCCTATATTCCTTTTTGTTAAAACATCTTTAATCAAGTTATAAGATTTTTTCTTTTTAACTTTTTGCGGAGCATAGTTAACTATTCCAAGGAAACCATTACAAGAGATTTTAGTGATATGTTTTGAGATTGCAGTCCTGCATGCACTGTTTCAATGCATGTGTATTGCCAGCTGTGTATGCTATATTTTGAAGTGGTAGTTGCATTTACATTCTTGGAAGGGTTTGATGCAGACCTACTTACCTTGTTTTTGACTCTTTCTAACATAAACATCAGCATTTATTGACTCTATGTAGAACGTTTCTGGTTGCCTTGATATTACTGGTAGCTCCTAGTTATGTACTTCTTTCTATTTTCTCCTTTTTTTTCCCATGTTTTGTCTTGTCTGACCCTAGCCCAATTATTTTGTTATCAGCAAACACTGTTTCATGTGGCAGATGACTGGCCAATATCCATATGATCTGTTTGATATTTTATTCACAAGCCAACTTTTTTCTTCTTATTATTGGATTTCTGAATGTTTAGAACCAAAGAATATTGAATTTATGTTTTAAGTGTTTGGTATTGTTTTCTGTGGTTAATTCAGACAGATCTGTTGGCCTTTTAGGTTGACATGATTCATGTTTTGATTGTGCTTTGCATTTCAATACACATTAGATGTTTCATTTTTATATTGTTGTTATGCTTGATTATTTTAAATCTATTTGGTGTAAGTAATATTCTGTATGCTTTGTTTTAATAATTCAGTGCAGTATGTACATCCTTCATAGCACTGAGGTTCCCTTATCACTAGACGCTTCTGATTACTTTAATCATAGTATGGTGATTACGTTTAATGTGACATCAGCCTGTTTGAAAGGACTGGGCTTTGGAGACATAATAGTTTTAGCTTTATGATAACTTCTGTCACCTTGCTTCTCTGTTCAAAATAAATTTAGTTAAGAGGAGCAAAACAATGGGAAACAAAAGATACCAAACACTCTAGTTCCAGTCAGTCCCTTTGTTAATCCTCATGGGAGACCCTTAGAAAACCCAATCGCTGGATTTTGCATTGAGGATATAAAAGTTCTGATGGAAGAAACTTCTGATTTAAAATTCTCACAATCCATTCTCCCCAAAGACACTACAGTCATGCCAAAAACTGTACATTGCCATGTCCGTTTTGCCTTTTCTCCTCTCAAAACCAAGTCTTAGCTATAAAACCTGTAGATAAGGTGAACAAATACAACTCATAATGCTAAATCTATCCATTCAAAATCTGACAGCCACTTCTCAATTCGGAAACAGATGACTAACATCTCTGTACGTTTAAAACTCACCACAACGTATGCTTGTAAAGCTGTATTATTCCTGCAAGTCTGAAGTAAGATCGTTTGTGTAAATTCTTTTTAGTGCTACAGCTTTCTAGACAAATCCTTTCCTTTTGTTGATATGACCTTCAAGATTTTTTTACTAAGAACACATTTTGCGGATTGGTTTCAACTTTCAAGAAATAAATTGAAAAGAATAAGGAAGAACTATAGGCACCTGAAGAATCCAATCTTCAAGTGCCTCTGTCAGGCAAACGAAAAGCATAGAACAAGCTAAGCGTTTCCAGCAATAGAGTAAGATCATAAAAACTTCTTATGATTTCTGGAGAAGTAAAAATTCCAGAAGATTTGTCACATTCAATGATTAAATTTCTGAAGTTGGAGCATTGTTGGCCATCTTTATCTAATATTCTTTTTTCCTGATTCAGATATAGCACATAATTTGGCCATGATTTTAGATGTACCTTTTGGAATGCCTTGCAGGCCTGTCAATCAACAATTAAATGAATAGTTAAAAATATATGTTATTGCCCAGAGTTTCCCCAGTAGGGTGGCTGTAAAATGTATTGAAGAAACAATCTCAGCCTAACACTATGGCCCCATTCTTCTTGCTAGTCAGATTCTCTTCTATATCTTATCTTATCCCTAATTTTATGGGATTGAACAAATCTCTTTATGTAGTTTTATTCTCTGTTTTTATTGGGTAGAATCATGGGATCTGGTTGTGTGATTTTAGCTGACCAACATCCTTATATTGTTATCATTTTTCCCGTTCGAATAATGAATAAAAAACTTACAGTGTAAATTAATTATTATAAAGGGCTTAAAAGATTTTATTTAACTGACAACACCAGCTGCCAATGACTATGATTATTAATTTCGATAACCACAATATATTTAAATTATCTTCCTTGCAATTGGAATATTGGATGTCCTTATCTGAATGTAGGTATTCTTTCAAATAAGATTCTTAAGGCTCTTTTGATAAAAAGTTAGACTTCTATACTTAAATGATTTTTCCTTTTATCATTTGATCATTTTGGTTATGTCTCCTATTTCTAATTCAAGATCATGAGATGTGGGCAATGGCATCCCCTATTGTGCTTTTGATATGGTTGATGAGAAAATGGAACCCTGAGAAGATGAACAGGAAATTGAGGATTTGCTTGATGATGATCATTGGCATGATGTTGCTCCCCCCTCCCCCCTTCTTTTTTCCATTTTGGATAGGTAGGACTGTAGGAGGATGAGGTTATGTCTGATCAAGAATGATCGATTTAGTTATTTTAGATTTAAGCACAGACTTTTGAAGTTTTGCCTAACATTTATATATTTATGATTGAAGTACTTGATATTGTGATTTATCAATGATTGTTTGCTTATGAGATATTCTTTAATGTGAGGTTGGTTTTCCGTATATGTTAGTCATTATAAATTATATATTTGTATGTCTTTAAACTTTAAAGTTCTTGCTACATTTATTTTATTGGAATACAAACGAAAGAGAGTCAGTTACATGTGCTGCTGGTAAAAGCCACCTGCTCTATCATAATTCTGTGCTTCATTTTCACATTTCTTATGCAACACTGTGAACGACATGCTATAGCATTTTGGAGCTCTTCCTATACAAGTGTGCTGGGTGCTATTAATAACTATGCTTAAAATCTCTTTGACAGATGCACTGATGAATGATTCGGCACAAGCTGTAAATTCTCTTGAAGCATTAACAACTGGAACCAGTGCTAATAAAACGTATTCATCTTACAAGATGGTATATATATCTAGACTACGCTACTTACCCTAGCATTCTTTTATGACTAATCTCTACCTCAGGCCTCACACCCTTCCCTGCACTGCAGGTTTCTAGGAAGTTGAAAATTCAAAGTTCCGACATTGAATGGTCAGGCACTTCTTGGTTTTGTGCTAAGCAGCTTAAGCACTACTCAGGATTTTGTAGGAACGGGACAACTATTTATGTAAGAAAATTGTATTTGTTATTGCACCTCAATCTTTGTCCTGATTCTTTTCATCTTTGACTTTCTATTGTTTGAAAATTTCTGATTCTTAGGATTTCTTTCTTCCAATATTTAGGTTCATTCATTTGTATATATCATGGCTGAAGAAGAAATTCAGTATCTTGGTTACATAGAAGACATGTATGAGGATAAGAAGGGGCAGAAAAAGGTCAAAGTAAGGTGGTTTCACCATGGTCAGGAAGTTAAGCAGGTTATGCCACAGCTGAATCTGCAACCTGGAGAAGTTTTTATCACATCTCATGTTCAAGTGGTTAGTGCTGATTGCGTCAATGGTCCTGCAATTGTTTTGAGTCCTAAGCATTATGAGAAATGCTTGCTTGCTGCATCACAAGCCTCTTCAGCTGATGTCCATGTATGCTCAAGGCAGTTTAAAAACAATAAGCTTAAGCCTTTCTCTCTCTCTAAGTTGCGTGGGTATTGTAACCAGTCCGTGCTTTCTTGTTTGAGTAGCCCTATCCTTTCTAAGAGAAAGGTGAAGCATCCAAAATTGCACAGAGAAGATGAAGAAGATCCTTCAAGGCCTAGCAGTAAGAGGAATAGAAGTTCTAAAGGGTACCAAATACTTGGAAAGGTTTCTTCTACTCTTCAAAACGCTGCCCGGAAGAATCAGATAACAGAATGTGAGCCAGTGTTCCCAATGCTAAAATTAAAACTGTCAAGAAAAACAATGGGTATTAAAGTTATCGGTCCTAAGCCCAAGAGTCATCCGTCTTTCAAGGATGATGATAGGATAGAGATTTTGTGTCAAGATAGTGGCATAAGAGGGTGCTGGTTTAGGTGTAAAATGTTACATACATCCCAAAAGAAGCTGAAGGTCCAGTATGAGGATATACTGGATGTAGATGGAAAGGGAAAGCTGGAGGTATGATTTATGTTTCCCTGTTTGTATGTGTACCTATGGGGGTATGACTTGCTAACCTGTTGGTTTTCTCTGTTAGGATGTAGAAAAAACGATAGATATAACTTTTGGCTTTAGCATTCCAATTGTCTCATTAATAATATAAATTATTTCCTGAATTTGAAAAAATTTGAAGGAATGGATCCCTGCATATAGAGTGGCATCTCCTGATAAATTGGGTATTCGATGTACGGGCCGCTTTACAGTACGGCCACATCCTCCTGAAGATACTGCAGACCGTACTTTTGAGATTGGGATCCCAGTTGATGCTTGGTTGGGTGACGGTTGGTGGGAAGGGGTCATTACTGCAGTCAATGTTTGTGGAGTTGATACGCTGCAGGTTTATTCCCCTGGTAAGGCTGTAACATGAATATAATACTCTGTTTTCTTGTTGTTTTGTACCTTTTTTTTTTCCTGGTTCATCAAATTGCAATCTGAGTTATGTCAATAGTATAAAAATCTGGGTCAACTTGCCCAGTTAAACCGGTAAACTGTTAGACTATTGTATGGCCTATTTAATGAAATGTTTTATTTATAGTCGGTTTGATCATGGTTTGATTATAGTTTTAACTATTAACTCTTGAACTACTGTTTTGATTGGTTCAATGATTGATTTAGTTTTTAATACCTTACAAGAATCAGTGAATCAAATGTTTGTGTTAATTACAAATTGTCATCTCTTCAGGTGAAGGGAAGTTCCTTGTGCTTGAGAAGAAGAATATCAGGATTTCCCGAGACTGGGTTGGTGACAGGTGGGTTGATTTAACGGGGAAGCCTGACATTTGTAGCTTCTTATCTTCAAATGTTGCTTCCAGCATCCAGCCGTTACTTCAGTCCGCCGTGGCAGATGGATCTTTATCTGATTTTTCAACAACGACGGAGACTAAATTGTTGTCCATTCCCAAAACTGAGGTCCTAGACAAGGATGAGTCTCGATTATCTGGCTTCAGTGCATCGGATGACCAGGAAAATAGGGTGGTGGTCACGTTGGGAAAGCCTCTCGACGTCATTCATGAAGACCAAGATAATTACTCTCCTGATGCCAGTTTTGATGTCACTGACAAAGATGATACGAATGACAGCGATCAAGCCAGTGAGGACAAACTGAAGGTGGAGCAAAATTTTGAGTCTGCAAAACTAAAACTTGATGGGGCAGAAGCAATAGAAGTTGCATGAATAGATGGTAATTCTAAATAAAGACTATCGTTCCTAACGCAATACTTGAATGTGGTGGGACCGAACCACATCCTGTACATATAGAATTTGGGAAGATTAATTATTTGGTGCATATACTTTTAACTTAATTGTAACTCAATTTTTAAATTTTAACTAGGTATAACTTAGTTATTATAGTTTAATCTAATTGTAACTTGATGCTTAAATTTTAACTCAATGTAATTTAGTACTTGAAGTCATAATTATAAGAATCAAATTTCAGGTGTGTTTAGATATTTGTTGGGTAATATTGATTATAAAAAATTGATTAATATTGTTAATTTTGAATATATTTGATTAAGTTAAGTGATATTATTGATTTATAAAATTGATTAATAAAATTTAGTTTAAATTTAATTGAAAAGCATGATTGAAAATGAGGTGAAGTTATGGTTTTGTAAAAATTAGAAAATGCCTTGTCCGATGCAAGAGATTGAATTGGAAAAATATTGTCAAAAAGTAAGATAGAAACATTGAATTTTTTTTTTTAAAAAAAAAAGCAATTGTGGGTTTCATGGCTCAGTTAAAATCACTGTTTCATAAAGAGTGAATTTTTTTATATTTCACTGCAGATAAGATATATTCAAACACTAATTTGATTAAGTCTGACAGACTAATTTAAATAAATTTAAAAAATTTTAAGATTAGGCTTGACAGTTTATAAAATTTTTTTATTTAAATAAGTTTGAAAAAATATAAGAAAAGCCCGAATATCTAATTTTTTATTACTAACAAAATAAAATTAATTTTCATTTAGCGCTCATAAACTCCCTCTTGGACTCATTGTTCGCATACTTCGCGCCCATAAATAAAATTTTAATATTCTAATAATTGTTTGTTTTGACATTTTTGAAAAATATTATGGAAAAATGGATACAAGAGGTTAGCTCATATGCTTTCATTTTTAATCTTTCAATGTTTGGTATCACTTTAATAAGGATAGAAATAAAATATATGTTGTAGTATTATTTTGCTTGAAAATTTTCAATTTTTTAAGATAGAAAGTGAAATTGTCCAAGAGAAGAACAAAGGAAACAAAATAATATTTAACATTTTGAATATTTGAGTGAGACTAAATAAGTTCAAAAACCCAAGGTGTTACAGTGAAACTTGGTTTTATAGACTTTTTATATGTTCAAGTATTTTAAGCTCGATCCAAATATATCTAACCTCGCTAAAATTGCTTGCTTTATATAATGTCCATCTTAACATAATCAAAACACAGCACACAATACAATTATGATAATTAGGACTAAGTAATTCCTTATATGTAGTTATTATAATATAAGGGTTTAATATAATAAGTTTACAAGTTGGGATCTCAAAAAATCTTTTTTGAAAAGATATTTAAACTCAAACGATAATTTAAAATATACAAAGTAAAATAACAAAAGCATGGAAACAATTATCATCACATTCAAGCATTAAAGAAGACAATTTGGACATTGCCAAAAGTGCACCGACGAGTGGATAGCATAGAGGGGAGGGTCCCCTCGCTGTGTAATGCACTGTGGCACACCCCTGTTGTCGTAATAGCACTCTAAGACCAACTTTTAGGGTGCTTTGTTTCACTATCCAATGTCCAATGATTCTAGCATCCACACTTAACCTTTTAAGCTATCTAACTATTGTCATTAGTTTCACAACAAAACTTTTTATCATTTAAAAGTTAGACACCTGATACAAAATTGCCCTTTTTCCTTTCAAAAACAAAGCCGAGGGTATCCAAACTTACCAACCAAGTGCCAATGGCCCTAGGATCACTTAAACTAACTCAAATGGGCCACAATACTCATAATTCAACGATTTCAATTCATCACATACATTTCAAACACAATTTAACCATTAAAACTTTGATTTTACAAAAATCAAGGGGCATTGGCAAAAATCAATATAGCCATACAACAATTATCTATATACATACATTCATCCCAATGACACTTATACTAGTATTTTGACCTTTCACAATAATTTTCAACATAATATAATATCCTAAGTCAAAATGCATACAAAACACCAAATTCTCATGTAAGTATCCTTAAGTTGGCATAATATATATATATATATATATATATAAATTTGTTACAAAATACCTAAAAGGAGAGGGAGTTATACAAACACAAGCACCTCAATTATCAGTGGTACCTTCATTTCTTTTTCCTTTATTAGAGCCTTCACCTATAAAATATAACTATGGAAGATGAGTCAATAACTCAGTAATCAAATAATTTGATATAACTACTCACATGCAAGAATAGTATATGAGTGTGTAAAGCAGAAATAAAAAAAGTTACTCAGTTACCATTTATGTGAGCATATGTGTACTTAACCATAACAAATGCTTGATCAACACACTGTCTTATATCTTCCTTATTTTCTTTGAATGAATCTATGGGCTAATAATTTAATAAAATCAAATCCATGTGACTGGACCAATTCAAACTCACCAATCATAAGAGGCAATCCTGGCCAAGGACTCCTTCACCCATTCTTGGATCATAGATTCCCCCTCTTAGATATTAGGGGTGTTATATATCCAATTTATCTCAAATAGTATTAGAATTTTCAAACAAGATAAAATTGGTATTGGGGCCTCCCCAGTGCTAATATACCATATGAATTTCAAACAATAATATCCCTAAAACTCTAGGGTGAATTCTCATTCTCTCACAGTGATCATGTTTACAGCTTAAACTAACATAGCCACATACACAATTTATTCCAAATCATCTACTAATATAACAATTCATACAATTTTGCAAATACATTTATACTTATGATTTTGGCACAAAACTCTTTCAAACCTATATATATATATATATATACATACATACATTCCATTTCACATAACATTTCAAAATCTCAATTAAACATTCATACTAATAATTTACTAGTTTAAAACAAAAATATATGCATATATTTTTTGCAAATTGCATCAACTATCCAAACACATAAGTAAAAAGATTAGATCATTTGTTACCTTAATCTTTTTATCACAAAAAAGATTACCTTGGCAACTTACCAACTCCTCAAGGGTTGACTAGATCAACATGGCTCGATCAATATTTAATCTATAATATTAAACATTAATGATTAATTATAACTCTAATTAAACCCCCTTTTTTTCCTAATTTTGGATACCCACTATACCTAAATTTTCTCTTTAACACAATTAACACTTTCATCACGCTTCATTAATTCCATTTAACATCCCAAACATTTAAATAACAAGAAATTTCTACCCACATTACTCCCAAATTTTTAAATTTTCACTTAGAGTTCATCTAAACCTTAGCCAAAAATTTTAAATTACTATAAAATCCTTAAACCAATGTTTAAAAACTTGATTTAACTTTTCAAAGCTTCATATAATCTAATAGGTTTAGTTATAACCTAAAGGAGGAAGAAAATCAATACCAACATTACCCAAAACTACCAAGAGTTCACATAGAGGGGGAGGGGGGATGATAAGAAGCTTACCAATGAATATCTTTAGCTTGGAATGCCTTTAAATAGGGCCAAGAGTGGAACCCTAACTTAGAAAAGGTCTTTCTCCATTGCCCTTCATGATCTCTTTTCTCCCCTTTATTTATGATGCACACAAGCAATGTGATGTATTCATATTTTTGCACATCCGCCGCAACAACTAAAACAATGAGACTCATAATGAATTTTGGGCCTCACCTGATACTTGATCCACTCGTACTCTAGTCAACTCATTTTCAAAAGTGTCAATGATCCAATAATTTCATTAACAATTCAAAAACATCATTAATTCATTAATCATTTAATTTTATCAATTTACCCTTTTAACACTTAAAAACTCACGAATTGAAATCGAGAATGTTATACATTACATATTATATGTCAAAATCTATCATGAACACAAAACTATGATTTTTTATAAAAATATCCAAATACTCCAATACATATCCAAATCAATTACATATATATATGTATGCATGTGTGTGTGTGTAATCTCCATGAGGCGGTTTTTTAATTGATTTCCAGATGAAATTACGGGAATACCCCCAACTCAATGGCAACGCCGCAATCATCAGGGTTTTCCATCCGGCCGAAAGGAGTAAGAAAAAAAAAATCTTCAGAGATTCAATAAAGTCCAATGTTTCTATGACAATCAGGCATGGGTAGGTATGGCCACCACCTTACATTGTTTCTTTTAAATCCTTTTTATACAATTTTTTACACAATTACAATCGTGCTCATCAGACCATCACTTTCTTCTTTTCAAAATGAAATTCAAGTGACTTAAGCAAGTAGATTTGAATTACAGCCTTGGAATGTCTATCATTTGTTCTAAATATTTTGAGGGCAATAATCTCTACCATCTGCAATGGAACATACTCTTTGTACTATCATAAAAAAAAAACATAATGGTAACTAAGAAACTTTTTCTCCCTAGATTAATTAACTAGGTTTAAACTTTGAGAGACAGATTAATTTATTGATTTTTGTAAAAGCTAAAATATTTGTAATCTCACTCCATGGTAAAAATTATTGGTGGTTAATGAGTAGAGATAACTCAATATTTCTTGAAAAGAAAAACAACAATTAATTTGACTTCAATAAAAACAAATCATATAATTTATTTTATTAAATTAAATAGAACAAAATTTAATTTCAATTGGTGCCACTATAAAAATAATTGAGCTTAATTTAATTCATTGGGCATAAAACATATTTCAATAAAAGGACAAATAACTTCATTTACAAGTGAACACACGAGTATTCCATTCACTTGCCAAAATCATTACATGTAGAAAACTTGATGTCCACTTTGTGGCTCAAAACGTGGTGTGAATATAATAATGATATCCCTTATATGTTGGGCGACCTTACGCTTCGTTGATTCCTTTAATAGGAATTAGTGGGGACAAATATGATAATAATGGTTTGAATCACTTTAACTAAAAAGTGATAACGGATCACTTTAACTACAAGCTACAATCACTTGTCAATAAGAAAAGTTCTTATATGTACCTGATACTCCAAATTACTCATACTATGTTTAATAAAAACAAACCATTTATGAGATGATTATAAATATAAATTGATTTTAACATTAATAATGATATATGAAAAAAAAATTAAAAAGGCATTGTATATAAAAATGAAATCATTAGAAACAGTGATACATAAAATTTTATTTAATTAAATTAGTGCAACATGACGTGTTATGAATGATGTATTGTCTTAGGTCTATACAAGAATTTTT